AAATGTGTTGTTACTTTGCTGTATATACCCATATCGTACGACTAAATAACGCTATAAAATAAAACATTTCATGACTCTTATTTAGCAGTAAACAAATAGAATGACTACACAAAGTTTACAAGCCTTAGTGTTGACATATGTATTATTTTACTTTATTATGGTTACAGTTATAATCAATGTTATAATGTATTTACAGTATACCAAACACTTTAGTTGATATAGGCACCAGGTTTTTTAATAGAGATATCCAGTTTAAATAAAATTAAATAGTTAAACTCTGATCCTGTATTACACATCAATGTGTAATGGAGAACTGTGAGATAAATGATCACTGCTCATTAGTGACTGAAAAACCAGTTATACAGACTGTGGATCATTAGAATAAGGTTTTCAAGCTAACAGACATAATGTATTATTTTTGATTGGACCCCTGTCAACAAGTGAAGAACTTGGAAGCTGCACATCCAGCACGCCATATGAATACTGTGTGATATCCGATTAACTTTTTATTATTATAATATATATTAATAACAATTCATTATCTTTGGAATTAATAAACAAAATGCACCAAACACCGTGCCTTTAGTCAAACTAGCATCGCCAGGACACCTGATTACCCGTTTATTGCTTTCTAAGTAGTCTTTTTGAAGAATAAAAGTAAAAACACCAGTTCTGCTCTTTCAATATGAGCCACGAAGGAGTAGGAAGTGGGAATACACTTTCTGTAGTAGTTACCACTAAAAACTGGTTTAAGATGGAATGATTAAGAATCTAATTTTATTTAAAAGTACAGTCTAAGCACCAAAACATCTTTAGCTTAACAATGTGGTTTTGGTGTATGGATCATTTCTCTGCAGTTTCATTGATCAATTTTTAAGACATTTAGCAGTTAAGTCACTTTCTTTGTGTACCCCTAGGCATGTCGCCCCTACCCGTGACTTACACAGATTTTTTACACACTTCATGTAAAGAGAAATCTAATTTTTAAAGGCCCTTTATGGCACAGTGGGTTTCTCACTTTAGTGGATAACCCTGACTGTGAATTAATTACAGATCCTGAGGAGCCGGGCAAGGCCTAGACAGGAACAGTGACATGTGAGTGTGAGGTGTGTGTAAACAGAGGAATGTGGTAAAGTTATTTTAGGATGTGGATGGAGTAGTAGGGTAGCATGGGGTGGGCTAGTATAAATAGGTTGGCGTCTTACAGTATAGCAGCCATCTGAATTATCAGTTGGGAACAGCTTTCAGCCCTCCCTCCCTTTAATTGTTCTATGTCTGTTTGTCTGTGTGTTTTGTTTGTCACAGCTTGTTTGCCCAGTGGGCATGTGTATGCCCAGCGGGCGTGGTGGAAACCCAGCGTGCTTGGTGGGTGCCCAGCGGGCATTATGGGAGCCCAGCAGGCTTTGTGGGAGCCTAGTGGGCCATTTGGGTGCCCAGCGGACTTGTGGACGCCTAGCTGGCGTGTGGCGGTATATGGCCCTTGTCAACCAGGGGTTGGACCAGCGGTCCATGGAAAGTGGATGGGAAGGCTGTCCCTCCTGTAACAGGTAGAGTGATGGATAACGGGCGTGCCCACTGAGCCAACTAACTGGCTAGTGGTTAGCATTACGTAATTGTAGGCCTTACGTAATAGAAACGCCTTGTGCTGGTTGGAATGAGGGGGAAGGGGGCAGCTGCCCTTAAGTTATGTTTGGTTGGCAAGGTGGTACTGAGTGACTTATCTATTTACTGAGTAATTATGTATATATAGTGTTTTATGATGTAAAGTTGAAGTTTAAAGATTTCTATATTTATATTTTAATAAATCTGTGGCCTATTTTAATCCAAACCAGAGTCTGAAGTAAGATTGTATCCAATCTATGACACCACACTTTTAAATTCTAAAATGTTTAATTTCCTTTAAATGACAACATTTTAGTGTTGTCTTTTGTTTTGGCACCCTCCTAATGTGATGAGTAATTAAATTATATTTGAAGGTTCTGTCTCTCTTGTGTCCTTGTATGCAGTGGCGGACCTACCGCGGTCACAGGGTTCGCAGCTGCGACCAGGCCTGTCACTCCAAGGGACCCGGCCGCCCTGTGGACCCCTTGCGACCGTGGTGCCCACAGGCCATGTGTTACAGCCCCGGCCTGCGCCATACTACGCCGAGGCCGCGCGTTCAGGGGCCCATCGGGTGTCCCATGCTCTTAGGGCCACCCAATGGCAATGTATTACCAGTGGGGCAAACTAACAAGCCGCGAGGGAGGAGGAGGAGGAAAGCATTGTGTGGGAAGAGGAGGGGAGGGAGTCAGAGTGGGAGCTCAGACTCCTATCAGCCTAAACCAGCTACTGGACCGCAGGGATGTCAGCCTCCCACATTCAAAAGGTAGGAAACAGGAGGATGACTAAAAGAAAATGTACATTTTGCGTGTGTGTTTGTGTCTGTATGTGTGTGTGTATCTGTCTGTATGTGTGTCTGTATCTGTATGTCTTTATGCGTGTCTGTATATGTAACAGTATGTCTGTATGTGTATGTCTATATGTGTATCTGTATGTGTGCATGTGTGTCTGTATGTGTATCTGTATGCTTATATTTATGTCTGTATGTGTACCTGTATGTCTGTATGTGTATCTTTTGTCTGCATGTGCGTCTGTATGTATGTGTGTATGTGTATCTGCATGTGTGTCTATGTGTTTGTGTATATGTATGTGTGTTTGTGTGTCTGTGTATTTGCATGTGTGTCCGTGTGTTATATTGTGTGTATCTGCATGTATGCCATTTTGTGATTGTCTGTTTATCTGCAAATGTGTCAGTGTATCCACCTGTGTATCTGTCACCCCCACACACACTGTCACCCCTCTTCACTTTGCCGCACACACAATGCCATCCTGTCACTCACCCATGCCATACTCACCTTCCATCACTCTACCATACTCACCCTCCACCCAACCCTGTCACACTCATTCTCTATCACTCTGTCACACTCACCCTATCACATTAACCCGTCCAACTCTGTCATACTTATCCCCCCCCAACCATGCCACACTCACCCTGTGGGGCATGAATAAGACACATGAAAGGTCTGGGGGGGCTGAACGTGGAATGTGACACAGGGCAATTTTCTCACCAGGGCCTGTGATTTTTAGTTACGCAGCTGCTTGTATGCCTTATTCCTACTGTATAAAAAAGCAGGTTGGTGTGCAGTATATTAAATCATTGGTGTTATACTTGTAAGTCATCTCATGTATATCTATAAAATCAAATAAAGTTGTAAAAGTGATCACAATTAAGCGGATATGTGCCCAACAACTTAGTGTATAATAAGTGAACATACAAGTGAAATTTAGGGGTCCTGAGGTACCCAAAGACACTAAGGTACATTATTATACTTGCACTACATGGTATCCACAGAAACAAATCTAACAAAGGACAGAAAAAAGAGAGGAATCCTAGTGCAATATTGCCAAAAAACCATAAATAAATAAAATGAGCTGAAGGTAGCAAACTCACAAGATAGGAGTGGTTAGAGTACCACTCACAACTTTAAAACTCAGGGAGAATCAGCCCCTTGTGTTCCTAGGATCCTATGGATCTACTGTCAGCCAGAACTTAAGTAAGTAAATTTTATTCCAAATGTAAAATAAAATATGCAGCATCAAAGAACAAATGTCCAGAATAAGCTTACCAGTCCCTGGTGTTATTCAGAGTTTGTATGGAGTAAGTGAAAAAGTCTCACAGAGTTCCCTTCTTCTATCACACTAAGCTGCTTGCTTCGATGAGTATTACTTCCGGGTACCGGCTTGTGACGCATTTCGCCCCTCCTCCTGGGGCTTTCTCAAACATACAGTGTATCCTCCCACATTAGTCCGTCTTATATCTCACTATCCGTGCGTCTTATCGTGAGATATAAGACAGACTGATGTGGAAGAATAATTTTCACTTGTATGCTCACTGATTATACACTACGCTGTTGGGCACATATCTGCTTAATTGTGATCACTTTTACCACTCTATTCGATTTTATTGGTAAATTGACTACTGACCAATCACCTTCCTCCCGACAACAAGGAAAGTCCTGTCAGGCATCATAGTCTTCTCGATCGATAGGCATCTGAGCCAATACATTGATAAGGCACTGGAAATAACAACAGAGGCTCAAAACACCATCTGCTGCTAGATTAACCAGTCACACAAGATTCTAAAACCAAACAAACCAGTCTGGATTGACTACAAGAAAGTCTACAACACAATGCCTCACACATGGATACATGCTTGGATCTATACAACAACAAGACACTAAGGCCTCAATTTAAATATTTTGGATACGTTTTTAAAATAATGTAATATTTTTGGATAAGCTTTCAAATGGATTTTTTCAAAATATTAAAATATAAAATGAAGATCATACATATAAAAAATGTATCAATGTATAAAAAAATTAAATATTAAATAATTTTAAATGTGTTTTAAAAATATCAAATAATTTGAAAGATACCAAATTGAGGCCTAAGAGTCTTCATAAAGAACTTGATGAGCCAGTGGAAAACAACGCTAGCAGATTCCACGACAATTACATAAGTAAACATTAAATGTGGCAAAATTGAAGGGTGATGCACTATCCCCAATGCTGTTCTGAATAGGCTGCAACCCCCTCATTCAGGTCATCATGAAGAGTCGATACAGACATAAGCTCAAGAATGGTGCTACCATCAGCCACCTGCTCTACATAAAGAACATCAAGCTGTATGCCAACAATGAGAGGGGACATTGACTCACTGATCCACCTAACAAGGATATACAGCAAGGACATCTGAAATTTCAAACAGCTAAATAAGTGTGGTTAGATGATAGCAAAAAGGAGATGTAGAGAATAGCTGCACATACCTAGGGATGCCACAAATACATATGAATCATGAAGAAGAGGCAAGAGGGACAGCAACATCCAAATACCTCCAATGATTCAGAAAGGTCCTAAAGTCCCAGCTCAATGGCAAGAACAAGAATCCACACCAATGTTTGGAATGGAAGTAGTGTACTGGGATGAGCAGCAGATAGTGTATGGGATAACTCCAGGTTATCTGGAGTTATCCTATACACTATCTGCTGCTCATCCCAGTGTTCTCTTTTTGGTACACTACTTCCATTCCAAACATTGATTACCCCTGGGGTTACCCCCCTCTCTTCAGTGTACTATTTATAGGCTTGTTCCAGTCAATTTTCCAAGAATCCACACCAACAACACATATGCCGTAAACGTCATCAGGTACCCAAAATGGATAATAACTTGTACAAGAGATGAGCTGGACACAATAAATATCAAGACTTGGAAACTACTCACGATGTATGGTGGATTCCACGTGAAATTGAGTACTCAGAGACTCGAGCCAGAAGGAAGAAGCCAGAAGGCCTATTGAGTGTCAAGCAGGACTAAACAGCAGTGAGGCACTAAATCCAGCAGCACCAGAACAGGCACTCAGCACCAGATTAATAAAAGCAGGGGTCTACCATACCAGACAGGATCCAAGGTGCATACTGTGCAAAATGGACTCAGAGATTTTTCAGCATATTGTAGCCAGGTGATGTTAGCTGGGACAGCATACACTAAGAGGCACAACCAAATTGCTGGGATTGTGTACTGAAACATCTGCACAGAATATGGACTGGACCTGCCTAGGACGAGATAAGAGGTGCCACCTCTAATTGAAAATTACAAGAATAACAGAATGATGTTCCTGTGGGACTTCCAGCTCCAATCATACAAGCAATCAACCCAACATCTTGTTGGAAGACAAGGAACGGAAGACTGCGGTGGAGGTGGAGGTGGCAATACCCACCAACCATAACATCAAAAAGAAGGAACATGGGAAGGTGGATAAATACCATGGGCTGAACGAGGAGTTAGAAAGGATGTTGAAAATGAAGGCATTAGTAGTTCCGGTTGTAATAAGAGCTCTTAGGGCTGTAACCCCCAATGTGGGAGGGTATCATCATCATAATTCATTTGGGACATCTGCGATCTCTGTCTAGAAGAGTGCAGTTCTAGGAACAGCTAAGACATTGCACAGATGCTCAAACTCCCAGGCTTTTTGTAGAGAATCCGAGAATGATGAAAAAATAAATAAAAAGTCAAATAAAAAAAAAGTATGTAAGTATATATGTAATGTATATATGTACTCCATGTCTGAGACAAGTCACACTGTCACCTGAGAGTCAACTGAACTATATTTCTTTAATAATGATTATGTTGTTCTAGGGAAGCAATAATCTATCCATGTTTTTAATCAAAATGTTCGCAAAGCTACTTTGTGTTAAAATAAATGCTCAGTAAATAAGACAACTTGTATCTATCCCATCTATCCATATGAATGTCTTTTTTTTTTTTTTAGCTTACCCCCTGGCATTAGATAGACCAATAAATAAATAGATTGATAGAAATAGATAGACAGACAGATAGATAGATAGATAGATAGATAGAAAGATAGATAGATAGATAGATAGATAGGCAGAAAGACACAAACCATATCTGTATTCATTGCTTCCAAATGTTCTGTGTACATTTTAAAAAAAAACAGGATTTTTATAAATGTAATACAAAACAGAAATAGTACTGCCATAATTCTAGACACTTTTGTGTAATTTTATTTAACGTAAGCTCACCTTCCCATATTGATGCACAAATCATGTATATAAGCACGCATTCAAACATATATTTTATCTCTGAAAAGGCAGCCGGGGGATGCAATGCAAAAATACTCCATTTCTATAGCAACATTGGGAAGGTAACCTGAGAAAAGAGAGTTAAAAAAATGGAAAAAACTAAGGAATAAAACGGTATAAAATTAAAAGGTAAAAAGCAAGAAGGCAAATAAGAGAACGCTTTCAGCTTCCACATTATTAATGACTCTTCAAAAAATCTGCGAGTTTTCCAATCTTCTCTGAGAAGCGCATGAAGGAGCTCACAGATGAAACTGACCTTCAAAATGTTCTTTGGTCTTTAGTTAAGAAATTCGCTCGCCATTATGGCATCATTAGGGAAACAAGGATAAAATTACTCCATGGTTAATGACCTATAGTATCTCCCCACCAAAATTTGTTTCAGATCTAATAAAACTGTGCTTAACACACTCGGATGAGTTATGAGGACTGTTCTGCAGGGTATTAAAATGTGGAAAATAGATTTTCCGAAGCTGGGGGGACTGGACTTTTTGAATCAGATAGCAGAATGGAATTTTCTGGGCTATAAATTCTTCCATGTCTCAATTTCATCTCTCTCTCGCCTGTTCTTTCTTTCTTTTTTTTTTTTTCTTTCTCTATATCTCTCCATCTTTCTGAAATGCTAAAGCAACAGAGGTATCTTTCAATGCAAAGCATTATCTAAACTTCAGCTCATGCTCTTTGTCTTCTTTCTCGGAAGTTGAAAAATCTTGAGAAACTACTTTGTTGATTTTTTCCCTTTCTATACTTTATTTATCTTTGGGTTTTTTTTGTTTTTTTTATCATCATATCTTAGTGTTTCACTGAAAGTTATATATGATTTGGAAATGCCAATATATGTAAAATCAGTTGTAGAAAGCAATTTTACCTATGATGCAACAACCTGTCAAATCTTGAACAAGATTGAACCTCTTCTGCTAATTGTCAAAATCAACATAATTGACCAATTTTATTTGCATTAACCCAAGAGCTCCTGGACCAGTCCACGATTGTATGCCCAGTCTGCTATTTCATTATGCATGGATGAGGATCTTTGGTTAACTGTCTTTAGAGAAATTTCAGTAAAGATAAATGTCATGTTATAAATAACGTTTGATTTGTCATTTTAAATATGCACTATGAAATATATGTTTATATGCTCATGTTATGCATATGATAATATCACACATAACTGTGCAAACATTGTACAGGTGTATTTGAATATGCATCCATAATTATAATGTACATACATGAGTTTGAAGAACGATCTATTTGTTTAGAATACTTGACGTGGCAAAGAGATTTACTATCCAATGGAGCATCAAGAATATGCATACCACTCCTGTAGATGTGTCAGTGGTTTGGCGCAGTAGGTGTGAATTTGAGCATGACATGCAATCCTCTTTTACACGTAATATATCTTGAAAATATAATATCTCATCATCCAACAGACTCTAAATAAATGTGTAACCTTTCATTTTCTGATATTTACATAGATGTATCTAGGTTTAGAAAATTGCATCGTATGTTCTTAAAAAAACAAAACAGGACTTAAACCAAACTATCAATGTAAAACAGTGTTCTTTTTTATTTTTGTTCTATTAAACAGCGCAGTGTAAAACAGTATTTTTTTATTTTATGTTTTATTGAGCAGCGCAATGTTCGATAAGGTGACTTGATCTCTTCTGGAGTGCAGAACATACATTACTCATGTATTCTACAGGGCTGCTTAGGCACCAAAGCTTGCCTGAACTTATTATTTTGTATAACAGCCAACTATTAAAATAGGAGTCTGTTGGTGCATTTGTTTACCCTGTTTGTTTGTCAAAACGACGTGTGTTGATGATGGCGATGATTCATGCTGCTTACGCATTGTCGATGAGAGCAGTCAGATTACACAGACGTATATAAAATAAGGATGACTTCTCCATTGCATTGTGTACCTGAGGTATGAAGACCAAGCTGTCAAAATTACCTGAAATAGAAGCAAGAGATGCCAGTGGTGCTTTTAGGTTAGTGAGGACCAGTTACTGCCGCTGAGAGAGGTGCCTCACGAGGTAATGGCATTTTGCTCTCTTTAAACTTTAATCTTTCCTATTAATTCCCTGCAACTGGAGAATGTATGAGAGTTAATGTTCCATGAACGTGTTCTCACTCGGCAGTCTCTGCGAGCTAATTACCTTCAGGTGCTAAATGGGGGAAATTGCAATCCATTTGGATGTGAAAAAATTTCGCCTTTCCAATCCCCTGTGAAACATTTTTTTCCTGAGTATTGCAGAAAAAATGCACTTCTTTTTATGTTTTTTTTTTTTCTTCTAGTCTCAATTCGGTCGGAGGAAAAAAATAAAATAAGATAAAAACAGCACAATAAACAATCTGCCTCTTAGAAATTATCACCGAGAACATTAAAGGAGTTTATCACCTCTGGTAAGACATTTTAATGAACACAGATGAAAAAACAATCCCTTTCCAAAAAGAAAAAAAAAGAATATGACTGTCCAAAATATGTAGATCAAGATTAGCACAGAGAAGTTGCTATTATAAAAGTTCTGGGCATTGGATCCAGGTGGGGGGAAAAAAGCAACATTAAATATTCTGCGAACCTGTCTCTTCATTTCCTGTGTGTATACAGAAACAGATAAAACAGGCAGATTTAAAGTAAAGAAAAGTAGATGAATTTAGAAACACATTATATTCATTCATCCTCTAGATTGTAAGCGTTTTTGAGCAGGTCTCTCTATATCCTGTATTTTTGTTCGGTTTCACTAGTTTATTTCTTTGTAGTTTTTATCGACCATTGTGAAAAAAGAAATTCACAATATAGAAGTAATAATAAGAAGAATAGTAAGAGTAATAATTATAAGAACAATGTAGATGTAAATGAAAAATCAAAAAGTGACACATAGCAAATCTGTGACGATTCTGTATCACATTACAACATCTATTTCTAATGAAAATCATCCCAATGATTAACCATGGTTATCATCAGAGTTTATTCCAATCCAATCCTCCCCCTTCCAGAGTCCAGGATATACGGGATTACCCAGTAGTGTTTAAAAAAAACAATTCTTCCTAAAAACACTTTAGGCCCAACTGGGTAATCCCTTAATCCTTGACAGTTAGGGGGACATAAGGACTGGTTTGGAAACCACTGATCTAAAGGAAGCCCACAACACCATTTCACAGCCCTGGAGACTCAGACAGACCTGGCAGAAGAAACACTTGCATGACACCTGTGGTAGAGTCAGTATACATTCGACATTTTGAAAGGCTACTTTGATCCACACGCTGCCCGTTACTTAAATATGTCAGCTGGCAGACCTACTATAAAGACCACAGCTAGATACAGAACGGACATTTAATAATAAATGAGGTACAGACCACACTATTGCAATCCTACTTGCCAAAATTTCAGCATAGTTATATTAGTTAAAA